AAAAAAAAAAAAAAAGATACTTTCCTTCCCTACGACTTGGCCCCTAAGCACAAACCAGACATTTTATTAGGTGATCAATTGGAGAAAGATTAGGTCCAACACTAGAGAAAATATTTCACTGGGTCGGACACACTGAGAGATGCTTCAGTCCACTGCAGGGCAGACTCTTAATGAGTTTCATGGATTCTTGTATCGCATGTGAATTTCATCTTACACCCAATTTAGATCCTAATGCCCATGTAACTGTGACTCCCTAGAATTTCTTAAAATTCAGCTCAAAAACACCTTCTTTTATGAAGACTTTCCTGGTCCTTCTGGCTCTATGTTTTATCTACTCTGGATTTTAGGAGCACTTATATTTCTCTGTCACTCTCTACCTAGTAGGTAACCATTTCCAAGTTGTTTTTACTTTTTAAGACAGTCAGCTCACTGAGAGCTGGATCTGTTTCTGGTGCTTCTTAGGAAACCACCCCAGGTGCTATGGCAGAGCCTTATACATAATAGATACGCAGGGTGTATCTCAGTGAACAAATGGATCAATAAAGAGGATGGGGGCTTCCCTGGTGGCGCAGTGGTTGAGAGTCCGCCTGCCGATGCAGGGGACACGGGTTCGTGCCCTGCCTGGTCCGGAAAGATCCCCACATGCCGCGGAGCGGCTGGGCCCGTGAGCCATGGCCGCTGGGCCTGCGCGTCCGGAGCCTGTGCTCCATGGCGGGAGAGGATGGAATCCCAGATGTAAGATGAACATATAAAGTCTTTATGTAAATGTTCTTTGCTCTTTTCTAGCTCTTTATAATCAATCAGCAAATATTTACTGATTGCCTAATGTGTACAGGGCACTGGTAAAAAACAGTTGGAAAGGAAAGATATAACCAAGGGAAAAGTTAAGCAATTTTTTCAAAATTTTTACTTAACCCTTTGGTTCTCTTATACCCATTATAGAAGTGATTGATATATAGATATGTAGATAGGTAGATATAGCTTGTAGATCTATGCTGATCTATATATACATATATATCTCGTTATTGCTAATTTTTCCTAAACCGTTTCAGAGCATTAACTTATAGGTAAAAATCATTGATTATAGGGAATCCTGGAACTGTCACTTATCCTTTTGTTGCAAGTCTATTTAATAACTACAACCTGGGCTTCCCTGGTGGCACAGTGGTTGAGAGTCCGCCTGCCAATGCAGGGGACGCGGGTTCGTGCCCCGGTCTGGGAAGATCCCACATGCCGCGGAGCAGCTGGGCCCGTGAGCCATGGCCGCTGAGCCTGCGCGTCTGGAGCCGGTGCTTCGCAACGGGAGAGGCCACAACAGTGAGAGGCCCGCGTACCGCAAAAAATAAAACAAAACAAAACAAAAAAACTACAACTTTACCACTTTAGTGGTAGACATCATTCATTACAGAGCAGAAGTTCTAATGCATGTCTCATGAATCTGGAAACCAGTACCACACTTTCTATTTCTCAGAGGACACACTGTTGTTAGTTTTAGTTCTGATTCTTGGTTTATCCTTGAATAGTTGTACAGTGTTCTGTGCAGGCAGACCGAGTGCCAGACAGTGTTGATGGTAGTGATCCCAATTTCTTCATGAAAGTTTCTGGGTACCTTAACCCAACCTCTGACCAGTTATTCAGTGTGCCTCCAGTTCTGTTTTTGCTAGTAGAATCTAACCTAAAGTAGCACCTGAACAAAGATGAATTTTGAACGATACTAGCAGTCTATAAATAAAAATGTCTCAGACCAAAAAATTGGACACGGTTCATCGTGTGGTAGTGGGGATGGAGGAGGTCAGAGAGAGCATACATCTGAGCCATCCGACGTGGCTCTTTCCTGCAAAATCCCCTGTGCTTTTGACACTCTCCCAAGCTAGCAAATTGAGGCTCAGTGATGGGATGACAGCCGGAGTCTAAGTGCCTGTGTCCCAGGGACTCCTAATTAAATTATGGTGAGTCCATTTTTTTCTTGGAGCGCTTCATATATTTAATGTATGAGTATAAAAGCATTTTTCCCAACCAGATTCCCACCTCCCTCTTTTTTTTTTTTTCTCTTCGCATTGTGTGGAACTCTGCATGTTACAATACAAAGGAAATTAAATAAACTTGTTATCTGGACCGTAAAGAGTTTATCATCTAAGACAGGAACACTGATATAGGAGCAGCTAAACAAGAAGAAACAGGCAGTCAGTATCTAAGTGACAAATGCATTTTGTCATCTACAAAGAAAGGGTAAAGGTCTTAAAGGGCAAGCTACCAGGAGAGTCAGGTAGAAAGTAACACTGAGTATGTGCCTATTATGATATGGGCACTGTGGTCAGCATTTCACATAGGTTCATATTTAAAGCCCTTGGTTTTTCCATTGCCCTGTACTGCTTCCCCTCAGATGAGGTCATCTGCCTTGAGTTATTGGGCCTGGATGTCTTAGTTCTACCTAGTTCTCAAGCTTCTTGAAGCAGGAACCATGTCTTAAATTTTTTCCATATTTTCCCCAGCATCTGGAATGGTACTTGGTAAGTTGGTACTGAGTAATAAACTGCCAACCAATTCAGAAGGATAAATGTCCTGTCTAGGTGTGTGGGGAAGGGAGTAGTATCTATGATTGACAGTTAGTATTCCCTGAAGGCTTATAGAATGGGTCAGGTACAGAAGACCAAGCCTTCCAGCTTGTGGAGGTGGGACATGCATGGCAAGCATGACTTGGACAGAAGAGGAGTAGGGTGTCTAAACAGGAGCTGGGTGATTGAGGTTCATGGAAGTTTATTTTTTATGCACTCAATGGAAGACTCTTGTCGAGCAAGGGCATTTATTTGTACCCAGAATATGGGATAAAAATCTACCAATCCTCTGCAAGATAGTGTGGAGGGAGGCTTTCCATAGTTCAGGAGTGGGGTTGGCGAGGATGAGGGCTAGGGTGGAGGCATCACTAATAGAAAAAGTGCAGTGGATTCAAGACACATTAGGAGGGGAGAACTGACCAACTGTGGCACAACCCATTAGACAAGGAAGAGTCCAAAATGATCCCATGGTTTTCCTGCTGCTGCCACTGGGATTGACAGAGGTTGGAAGACATCAATGGCTTCTGGGCACTGAGGAAGGCTGAGTGCAGTGGAGCTGGGGGCAGTGTCCCCATGTGTGCAGTCGGCCCTTGGTACCTGTGGGGACTGATTCCAGGACGCTCCCCGCCCCAACAGCAGGTACCAGAATCCATGGATGCTCAAGGCCCTCATATAAAGTGTCAGAGTACAGTTGGTCCTCCATGCCTACATACATCCCAGGTTCCACATCAGGGATTCAACCAACCTTGGATTTCAACTGTACTGAAATTGCTTGTCCTCAAAGTCCCTTTAATAAGCAAAAAGACTGCCTTGTAGATACTTGTGATAGGATGTAAAAGTTCACAGAATCACTCCTGGAAACTTTACACCAACTTAATTTTTCAATTTTCCATATTTAAGGATTTCCGTAAATTTGAAAAGTGATTTAACTTCTTGCCAGCTTTTCCTTCTATTAAGGATTTAGCTCTTAGAAAAGAGTGGATTTTAAGCAAGGTCACCGAATGTGTTACAGGACTGCTTGCGTGTATCTAGCAAAACAGTCTTCTGGGTCTCTTGTCACTCGAGTGACAAAACTTGCTGATACTTAACTTGAACTAGATCACAAAGGCTTAAACTTGAGATTAAGAGAAGTATATAGTGTATATGTTTTTATTCGCTTTTTTCGCCAATTTTATCTGGGCTGGTTTTCCTCAAACTTTAATTTCTACATTAGAAAACTCATTGCTTATTCACTTAAAAAAGATGGACTTACTGATTTGTGATTTCAGAACAACCTAATACTACGTTTTAAAAATCAAGCATTTAGAATATCATTAGGGCCAAAATGTACTCATTGAGAAAGTGTTCCTTAAGTTCCAGTCACTGTTAAATGTCCAGGAAAGTGCTAGTGTATCGTTAACTTCCCTAGCTCTGTCGTGAGAGACTCACAAAGTAAAAGGGAAAAACCATAACATACATCTGATGTCAAACTCTCAATTCAGCAGGTCACACTTCTTAAAATGCCAGGGAACCACGCTGTAAGCATTTAAATGAATTTTTCCGGAAAACATCATTCATTTTATAATGTCATGTTAAATTCTACGTCACAACACACACTTTCACCGTTCCTCACCTCGTCCAGAACTCACTTAGCACACAGGTTTTGGAGAATAAATTTCCTTTTTCTATTAGCAAGTATGCTCATCTAATGACCCCTAATTAGAGAGGGGAATTAAAAGGTTCACAAGTCTAAAAATAACTCCATTATCCACGCGGAGGCGGCCGGTTTTTCTTTCCCCTGTACCAGCTGATATTTGAAAGTAAGTGGCAATCGATCAGTCTAAGCGCTGGCTCTCGTTTTTCATAAATGAAGGGCTGTGGCTTTAAGCAGTCGCAGGCAGCCTGTGCCAAAGGCAGAAGCTGCAGCCTCAGCTCCTGTGAGGAGAGAGGCGTCCCAGGCACACGCTAACCTGCAGGATGCGAAGTAAGGCCAACCGAAGACCAATGGCGCTCCTCCTGGTGGAGCTTTGAGTGTAGACCGACCGCACTGGTGGGTGGCTTGGCCACCTGCGCGGGGCCGGGAGGGGGTACTTGGAGAGACAGAAGCTGGAAAATGGGCTGCTCCGGCAGCAAAGTGTGCCTCTATTCTCCATGTGCAGCAACGAGGGTAATTAGTATTTGTTTATAGTGCTTTTCTGGAAGAACGCCAGGGGCGAAGGCAGAGGTGGTCTGGCGTGAGGGGGAAACGCTTTGAGTGACAAGCAGCTCTCGCCTGCAAAGGCCGGTCTCATGAGCTCCGTCGCAACGCTGCGACCCAGCTGCGGTGGGAGCTCTGTCCGGGGCGATCCCGGGGAGGGCATTTCCAGAGAGCTTTGAATTCTGCCTTTTCCTTCCTTACACGCTGGTGGGAGGGAAACTGCCTCGTAAGAAACTGTGTCTAATTGCTGTGTTTGTACAAGCGTGTGTGTCTGTGCGCTTGTGGATGAGTTGCTGGTAACTTAGAAATGGTTCTCCTTGGCAAGATCGATAATTGCTTTTTTGATTCTGAAACAGCTGCCTGGTTTTCTTTGATTCATTTGTCTAACATCTCCTCAGAATGATCGCTGATCCAACATATTATCATCCTTAGAAAATAACGCGTAGCTGAGTAAAATTGATTTCATTTTGTTTTTAAAGGATTATTTTTCTCACCGTGGCTTTGTAAGAGACTTCCGCGTATTCCTTTTAGAAGTAAAGGACTGGCCTCCTAAGGAAACTTTTCTATTTGCAAATATAGGGTAAAGTTCATATAAGTGCATGTGTTTAGAACATTAAACGTTTATTTTAGACTGATTAGGCCTTTATTGCCCTTGGAAGAGGAGAATGAATTACGTTTTAAATATGCATTAGCTCAGAGGTTCTGGGATCAGCAGTGAAGCCTGGCTCACAGTAAATATTTTTAAACGGGCCATTCAGTGCCTCAGATGAATGTTTCACGAGGACCTGAGAAAATACAGATTTTTGAAATGTGAATTTCCTTAACAACTAAGGGACATCTGTGTTTTTTAACAACACAGACTGTTAGCCTAAATGATTCATATCTTGGCTTCTCAGTTCTGAGTCTCATTTTCCTGATGATAACAAATGTGTGCTTTACTGAAAGGGACCCTCTTGAAAACATGAGTAACTTGATGTGTGTTTTCCACAGCGGGAGGAAGCATTGAAACAACACAAAACCCTATCTCAAGAACTTGTTAACCTCCGGGGAGAGCTAGGTAAGAGCTTTTTTTTTTTTTTTTTTTTTTTTTTCCTTCTTCCAAGTTTTTCGGGTGGAGGGGAAAATTGTCACAGTTGGTTTTCCTCTCTGCGTGGTGTCTGCTGGAGCTGCATGCTGGCAGTGTTAGCCACTCACTCCAGTATCTGTGCAAACACTGACCATCGACGTTTCTGTTGAATCTTGGCAGTTTGACCTCAAGTTCACAGAATTCCGGGCACTGATCTGACTAAGCCTAGCAGAGTTTCTGATGACCAAAACATTTCTTTTCCTGAAGAGAGGGACGGAATGCTTTTTGTAATTGTGTGGATTCCTGTTAGATAATTCCGTCAGGTTTTTTTCTTTCTGGAACCATCTTCATATGAAAGAGTGGTGAGGAAATTCCCTCTCCAGTAGCAGTAATTATATTGCACTTCCTTGGGTGCTCTGTGAGTAGTGGGTATAGCATTAGAAGGCGCACTCTGTGCTAATCTTCCAGCTGGACTGGCAGTGAGAAGGACCCAGCTCCACAGGAAGCCAGTCTCTCCTGCCTGTGACACTCACCCCCCAGGGCTGCTGTTTCCAGGCCGAGCTCTCTTCTAGTTCTTGTCTTTCCTGGAAGAGCCCTGGGTTCGTGTAGCAGAGACAGTGCTGCCTTTCCTACCTCAGCCTGCGTGTTAGAGTGAGCTGACTGCCTCGGGAGCCCCACGCGCTGTAGGCACCACGGCCCTAGACAGTCAGCTTCCTGCTGTAGCTTCAGCCAGGTCTGGAGCAATTCATTGAAAGGCTGCCTTCCTTACCCTTTGCGGTTTTCTGTGTGTGCTGAAAGCGTGTGTGGGTACGTGTATAAATAATGCAAAAGCAACAGCCAGAGTTGAAAATTATGTTCGTCTAGTTCCAGGAGAAACTGCTCGTTTTTCTTTGGACAACACCAGAGTTGAAATACTGTCAATATAATTTGCTGGACTTGAACCCTCTTAAGTCCCCCTCCCCTACCATGCCCGGGCAAAGATCAAGTAGCCATGAACGTGGGGTGAAGACTTCCGTCTCTATTCCTCTTCTTTCTTCACCCCCCGATGCAGGGCAATGCCCAACTCCTGACTCGCCCTAATACCTCGTCCTGGGCATCATTTTCTCCTGATCTTAGGAAGGACCCTTTTGGGAAGAGTAATTGTGAGACAGATGGAACTTCAGGACCCCAAAGACTTGAGAGTTCTCGGAAAACAGTTCAAGGAAACCACAGATAAGAAACAGCCTGGCTCCCAGGGATGTTTAAGGCTCTCTGCCAGGTTACTGAACGTGACTGGTGTCCTTTTGATTACCCGGATGACCAACTTAACTTGCTTTTGTCTGCGCCTTAAGTAACGTAATGGATATAGGGTTAACAGATCAGGAGAGAGGTCTTTTTTGTGTGTGTTTCAGGGTTCGCTCTAACCCGGTAGAGGTGGAGAGGAGCCTCGCTGGGGGTTCACGTTTCAGCCTCCCCCCAAGACGAGGCAGATGCACCAAGGGAACACTGTTCTCATTCAGTCAGTTTGAATGGGGGAATCCTCTTTCCACCTTTCAGTGGATAGTGCGATTCAGTGACCTCAATGGGACCCAGGGACTCATTACGTCCCGTTAGTTACTTAGCCCGACAGGAAATAGCTGTAGCCATTTGCACCCACTCTCACCTTCCCATCTGTGATAAGGAGCCGGTGCCCCGGTGTGGCTTTACTGCTGCTCTAGGAGTGTCAGGATGCAGTGTTTGGCCCGTCCATATCATCCGGTCACCCAAGGCTACACTCTCAGGAAGTGTGGCATTACTGCTGGTGAATCAGATTGAATTGTTCACGTAACAGCGTAGAGCATTTGGGGGAAGATTTTTGGTTCCATGAGGGGAAGGGAGAGAAGCCTTCTTCTGATGGAACAGTCCAGGAAGAATGTTCTCCAAGCTGCCGGTTTGATTGATTGAGCTGCAATAGGGATAAGTTCACACCGCAAAGTTTACAGCTCAGTTTTAAAATGTGAGGCAGTGGTACAAAGCGGTTAGACTGTGTGGTCATATTATCCAGGTTCAGATCTTTGGGTGACCTTGGGTAGGGGAGACAGAGCACACGCCTTCTGTCCCAACTTCATTCTTTGTAAAATGGCGGTAGTGTCTGCCTCAAGGGTGGCCAAGAGAATTACATGAGGTAACTTGTTGCAAAGCGTCTACCACCAAGTATTAACTGCTATCAAATAGTAGTTGTTAAGATGCATGCAGTTGACAGCTGTGTAGTAACTGCATTTGCTATTTTGTGAGGGCAGAGACTGCTGCAGAAAGGAGTAGTAGTTCGACTAAATATTATTAGAAATGCCTTAGGACAGGTTATTTTTGCTCTTCACGTACAAATGGAAAGGTGAGATGTGATGGATCCCTTCCTGATATGTTAGAGGCGCTTGGGGCGCGGGGTCCACCGTCTGGGTTTTTGTCCATCCACTCCTGGTTAGAAGTTACCTGACTTCTTTGAGCACAGTTTCCTCACTGGTGATAGGAAGTTAATATGCGTTTTGCTGGATTGTTTTGGAGTTTGAATAAGATGGTAGTACATGTGAAGTGACTGGCATAGTGACTGGTCCATCACAGGCAACTCAAGAAAAGAGAGCCGCCACCATCAATGCCATCAAAGTACCCACCTTTCCCCTCTGACATAATGGGGCATCGTTGGTGTCGCTTTCCCATGGAGTAGTTTTTCTTTACCTCCTCTATGAAAATTGAGGCAAGGTTCCCAAACTGCTAAGAACTGCAAAGAATCAAGGACAACTCATAAGCTCAGGAGCACAGAAACCCAAGTAAAGTCTGCACTTTTGATCTTCAGACCTCACTGTCTCCGATGGTCTCGTCCCCTGCCTGACTTGCCCACTGTGGTCTCACTTGTTTCCTGACAGGTGCCCTCTGCTCCCAGGTTAAGCCAGCTTATTACCTCCAGCACAGCCTGTGTGTATCTGCATCTGAGCCACGCCTGCTTTGTGGAACAACATAACGTTTGCTTCTGCAAAAAAACTCTTTGAAAACCCCCTCTCAGTCTCCTCAGAACCAAAGCGTGAGGCTCCCTTTGCTCCAGAGAGCCCTTGATATTTTGCATTTGTGTATATTACTGTATCTTGTGTTTTCCTATTGTCTTCAGACAGTAAACTCTTTTTTTGGGGGGTGGGGAGGGGTTCTTTGTTGCTGCGCATGGGCTTTCGCTAATTGCGACGAGCGGGGGCTACTCTTCGTTGCAGTGCTCGGGCTTCTCATTGCGGTGGCTTCTCTGGTTGCAGAGCACGGGCTCTAGACACACAGGCTTCAGTAGCTGTGGCACGTGGGCTCAGTAGTTGTGGCTCACAGGCTCTGGAGTGCAGCCTCAGTAGTTGTGGCGCACGGGCTTAGTTGCTCTGCGGCATGTGGGATCTTCCCGGACCAGGGCTCAAACCCGTGTCCCCTGCATTGGCAGGCGGATTCTTAACCACCGCACCACCAGAGAAGTCCCCAGACAGTAAACTCTTTAATTGCAGAGATCCATTCCTGC